TCCGAGCCCCGCGCCCAGACCAAGCCGAGAAGAGCCGAGCGCCGCCGAGCTCAAACCCCATCGACATTTCCAGCCTCGGCTGGGCGCTGTCCACCACTTGCAACGCCTGAAACCTCACCCCAGCTCTGGAGGCCGAGGCTTCTACAGGCTCTCAACCAGACACAGGGGATTACAGACATGTGAAGTTTTGAAACCTGCCCCTAAGGAGAAAGAGGTGGCGCGGTTTGCATTTCCCGACCCGCGAGTGCTCCAGGCAGATGCAACATGCACCTTGTTGCAAAGAGCAATTCCCCAGGCCCCGCCTCCCCATCCATTTGGACTGCACAAGCCCCAGAGAAACCCCAGGCCAAATTACTGGTGGCTCAGAAGGGTGAGGCTAGCCGAAGGGGCCTGTGAGAAGAAAGCCCCCGGGAGCTCTCGAACGCAAATAAGAACATGCCAAGCAGTCGTGGGGAAACTGTCTGCTAGTCGCTACTCCCTACCATCATGGCGCCGCCTGGAACTCGCTTGTCATGCCTGTTACACATGCAAGAATTTTTGCTTCTTGGTTTTGAAATTGCAAGCACAATTTGTCTCCCACCCACCTCCCCTCGAAAGGGGTTTTTATTTTCCATTGTTTTCCTACGGGATGCAATTACTTCGGCTATTCTGTCAAGTTGAAAAATAATCATTTTTGTTTACTGCACAGCAACCTCTAATTAGGAGCTGTGTGTGCATGAAGGTGTCACAGCAAAGCGACATGGAATCCTCGCTAAACGATCCTAACGAACTCCTCTGTTCTGAACTGACAGGCCAACGGAAGCAGGGCCAGGAGGCCCGGAAGGCACGCACCCATTCCCTGCTGGCCACCCCTCCCTAGGCAAAGCTGCCTGTAGGCTTACTAGGAGCTGTGGAGTGGATGGGGCAAGAAGCAAGCCAGTGAGGGGGGAAGGAGGGATGAGACTCCTTATTGGGGAAATGTGGAAAGGAAGGAATATCCCATTTTGTTTTAATTTTCAACCATCACTCAAATCCACCCCCAGTTAATTAGGAGGGGAAACTGATATCTAAGGCAGAAGGGGGCGGTGGCAAGTAGGGCCTGAAATCCGCATTGGAGGTAGACTACAGGGAACCCGGCCTAAGCAGAGTGCAAACAGATATAACGATAAAGGCTACAGAGTTGACAGGAAACTGCTAGTGTCAGGAGAGCAAAGGCTGAAGGGCCAGGGAGGAGAGGGGCTGGAGGGCAGATGAGGCTTGCTGCTTTCATTCAGCTCCACAGACAGCGTTCCCCTTCCACCTCTGCCTTGGATAAAGCTGTGTCTGTCACATCCGCTTGGAAACCCACCCTTTTACCCCGATGCACGCCCCCCTCCCCTAACCCCTGCTCTCGTTAGGGGCGGCGGGGGGGGGGGGGGGGGGGGCTCGAAGCCACAGCCTCCAGGAATTCAGCACCAAACTCATGAACAGCAAACACTTGATCTTCCACCCCAATCTGCTAGGGCTGGGTCCCCTCCATGTTTTTAGTCAAGTTCAAAATCACTGCCCCAAGGGAAGCAGGGGGAAGGGGGATTGAGGGGTGGGGTGGAGGGAGGAGGAGAAATAGAATGAGGCAGAGACAGAAATGGAGGCAGCGAAACACATGAAATACTCCACGAGCAAGAGTTATGATCATAATCACGCCAATAGTGTGATGCTCTGATCAATATGGCGGACACTGTCATTCATACAACTACAGGCGCTCCCTTTCCCTCCCCCGATGCCAGCAGCTATGGCTGAGCAGATCTCTGAGCCTGCCCTCTGGGCCCCCGGGGGGGGGGGGGCCCGGGGGGAGGGGGGGGGGGGGGGGGGGGGGGGAGGGCAAAACCAGGTCTCTGTGTGTGCACGAATTAAAAACCAGACCTGAAGAGCAATGTGGGTGAGCAAGATAATAAAAACGGTATAAAATTATTAATAAAAGTACAAATCCCAATGCCATAGGGACTTACTTCATCTGCTTCACAATGGTGCTTTTTCCTGATTCTCCAGCCCCTGTTGGGACACAGAGAGGGGGGAAAAACTGGTGAGTGTCAGCTCAGAGGAATGGGAAGGGGGCTTCAAAGCATGCGAGGGGTGGGCGATCCTGGGCACACAGTGG